CTGCAGCCCAATGGTATCAATGTGGATTTCACAAGCTTCAAAATCTCCCCTCCCCCTACCGCATCCCAAAACCAGCCCAGCTCGTCCTCATCCTCGTCCCCGCCTCCCTCCCCTGTCCTTCCTCCCACCTATCCCCTCCTCCCACCTCAAGCCCCATCCCCATCTCCTACCTATTAACCTCATCCCGCCCCCTTGACCTGTCCGTCTTCCCTGGACTGACCTATCTCCTCCCTACCTCCCCACCTACACTCACCTTTACTGGCTCCATCCCTGCCTCTCTGACCTGTCTGTCTCCTCTCCACCTATCCTCTCCTCTATCCATCTTCTATCCGCCTCCCCCTCTCTCCCTATTTATTTCAGAACCCTCTTCCCCTCCCCCATTTCTGACGAAGGGTCTAGGCCCAAAATGTCAGCCTTCCTGCTCCTATGATGCTGCTTGGCCTGCTGTGTTCATCCAGCTCTACGCCTTGTTGTCTCAGATTCTCCAGCATCTGCAGTTCCTACTATCTCTGATACAAATTTATCTAGTGACTGGATTACTTTTAGAGAGAATGAAGATTTTAGACCCGGTTTGTGGTTGCTTGCAAGTTAACTGATCTCAGCTGATTAACAATAGAGATACTATGGTGGCTTCAGGGTCGCTGGTTTAACAACAGAAAGAAGTTAGCAAGGGATCCTACTAATGATTGACAGCTAGTAACTCATGCTGAAAGTAGCCCTTTGTGGATGTTGAACAGCAACAGACTCAGGTTCAGCTTTGATGCCTCCTGCAGTTAGGTAATCTGACATTTGCTTCAAGGCTTACATGTGAATATTGCCATTTGTGCTAGTGAATGTCTAGTCCCCTTGGATCTTTGCTCCAGCGAAGAAATCTTCAAGTAAGATAATAAGAAATTTAATGAGGTGAAAACTATTTTTTAAAAATTTTTAAAATTTATGAAGCCTTAATACTTCTGATATTATATACTCTTTTGATTTGTATTTAAATGATGCGATCTGTTATTAGCAGTGGATCTGTTGACAGTGAATTATCAGACTTCAACTCATTTACCATCCATTTTAGAAATGAACATTGCTGACTTGCAGGCTGTTGTTTATTTTACAGGAGCAGCCAAGCTTTACGCCTACTGGATTGTGGTGAACTTCAGGGAGGCTTACAATCTTTTTGCTGTCAATGGCATTCTTTTCAATCATGAAAGTCCGAGAAGAGGTTAGAAAACTAACACATTTAATATATCAAAAATATTTCTAATTTTCGTGCCTTTTGGAATATTGTTTCACGTGTTATGAATTGAATTTTTTAAAGTGTGACTGTAAAAGTGTGTATAACAACAATAGTTTTGAGTTGGAAACTTTGCAGGGAATTTTAACCTGAAAAAGAAGGTGGATTTGGAGAGGGATGTGAAGAGCTTTGAGGGGGAGATATGAAAGCTTCAAAAATCTGAATCACAAGCTCTAACCATTTCCAGTTTAAAGGAAGTGAACGGGGAACCAGAGGTTTTGGAATTGCAAATAACTACTGTTCCAAGGAAGTGAGCGGCAATTTAAATATTATAATGAGGTTGCAGACCTCACATTTAATCAACCAGGTTTTTGGGGCCTTGGGAAACCTGACAACTAAAAGAAGTTGAGCAGTGCTGGATTTGGAGGTAAGTACCTTTCCACTTACCTCCAATTTATCAACTTCACAGAGTTCCTGCAAGTAAACATCCCAGACGCTTTCCAATTTCCTGACTGTCTCAAACTCCTTGCCCACCTCCCTCCCCACCCCACTTTCCTCCGCACTCAACCTCTCAACCTCCTACAAGTGCTTCTGATCTCCTCTGTGAAGCTGCCAATCTTCCAAATTCTGGCAATCAGTCTCCTCCCTGGTCTTACCTTTCTGATTCCTAATCTTGTTCCTGGCTTTCCAGTCCCCTACACCGGCCTCTGATCTTGCCTTTGATGTACCCATAACACCGCCCCTCCCCCCCACCTCCAAAACAATCCTTTCAATAACTCTCTCCTTTCTCTCTGGTCTCCAGCTATGGCTAGGTTTCAAAGGCCTAGCTGCTCCATTGCCAGCCAACCTGCCTTTCAATTTGGTCAATCATAGATGAGAAAGGGAGATACAAGTTAAGTCCAACTATGAAAAAGAGAAAATACATCTTCACCTGATTCACCTAACCACAAAGTAACACCTCCCTCAACCCCCCCTCACTGCCTCTAACTTAATATTGCACAATTAACATCTGAGAAGCTTAAATTCTCTAAATTATGTTTTCATGTTTCAGTGACTAAGACATTGAAATGTAAAATAAATTAAGTTTAAACTCGACTTGTGTTCATTCACCCAAATAAGTACATTTTAATTAATTAAGTATTTAATTTCTTTCCCAGAGACATAGACTGTAATTCTTCCTCCAGTAAATTTTGCCTGCACCCATTGTTGAGACCCACATTGTTATCATCATGCTTCCTAACTCAGCTTGGAGGATTTTCTTGAAACTTTTTTGTGCAAACATAGAATGGAACAAAGGTGCAGGAATGTGCCATTAAGATTCTTGAGCCTGTTACAATCATTTTGGACAAGGTTGTTCTGTGCATCAACTCTGGTTGTCACTCTATATCTTTTAGTTACCTTCAACTAACAAAGTGTACCTCAATTTTGAATCTGTTGATTCAGCTAACCCCACCAGCTTTTATTTGCAAGAGTTTTCCAGATTTCCACTACACATTGAATGAAGACATGCTTCTTGGCTTGAACCCTAAAAGGCTAGCTCTAATTTTAAGGTTATGTCTCTTTGTTCTCCACTTCCCATCAGAGGAAATTGTTTCTCTATCTACTCTCTCAAATCATTTAATTATCTAAAACATTTCAAGTAGGCCACTCCTTCATTCTCTGTATTCAAGAGAATCCAAGCCTAATCTATGCAGCCTGCTTCGTAAGTTAACCCTTTTAGTCCATTATTGCGGTGGATCTGCACTGCAGCCCATCCAAAACTAGTACATCTTTACTGAACTGTCCAAATGTGCATCCAGTACTCCAGAACTTTGCACAACTGTTATCATAACTTTGACCTCTTGGCATTTTAACCCCACTTGAGGTAACAGATAACATTTCAGTTTTATTTTTTTTAATGCCAGTTCACTAGTTTTTCATGGGGTCTTGAATCTCTTTACACCACAGCTTGTAACTTCTTCCCATTTAGAAAATTCTCTGATTTATCTTT